CCAAATAGCAATGCACATTTTGCAAGAACTCACGGAAATAAGAGGACAGACATGAAAAAATGCAAAGTGCAAAGAGTTGCCCAGGGCGGGGGGGGGAAGAAATAGGAAAAGGGGTTGAGGAACAAATGGTGTTTGAAAGACGTGGAGGCAGGCAGAGAGGACAGCTCCTTGGGTATAAGGTGTGCACGGGCACCACGATCCAGACACAAGGGAGTTAAGTGAATTTTGAGTTGAGGATGTGCTGATGTGGTTTCCCTGGCAACGATGCTGGAGAGGCAGAAGACAGGGGAGCAGAAAGACAGCGGAGCGGGGACAGCCAGGAGACCACTTCACGCCCACGATTCAATTATAACCTGCTGGAGAAAAACACCAGCCCCCAAAATCCTTTCATTATTTGGGGGCCCCAGGGAACATTGTGTTGCATCTCTAACACAGAGGTTCTCCAACTATTTGATCTTAGGACCTCTTAAATTATTAAAAATGATCAAAGACCCCCAAAGAGCTTTTGTTTATGTGAGTTCTATCTGTCGATATTTACCATATTAGGAATTTCGACAGAGAAATTAAAAGAATATTTCGTTATGAACTCTTTTAAGCATAGCAATAACAAACATAGGTGACATGGTCACGCAAATAACGTTTTTTTTTAAAAACCGATATTTTCCAATACAAAAACAAATTTGCGAGAGGAGTGGCATTGTTTAATGCTTTTGCAAATCTCTTTCGTGTCTGATTCAGCAGAAGATGGCTCATCCTCGTACCTGGTTCTGCCTTCAGTCAGTTGCCATATCGCACACCATATAGCAACTGGAAACTTCCATTGAACACTTGTGAGACAACGGGAGTAAAAAAGGCAAATAATATTTTAGTGTTATTATGAAGATGGATTTGGTCTCATAGATCCCCTGAAATGTCCTTGGGGACTCCTAGGGGTCCCTGGACCACACTTTGGGAACCCCTGCTCCAATAGCACTATTACTAGTTAACAGACAGGCTCACTTGTTTTTCTCAAACCCAGGGAGGGGGAGGGGAATTTTGCAAAACATTTGATATACCCTTTTCTTCCAGCTGTTTCCATGGGAACCTCAGAGGCAGCGGTTAGGCCACTGATGGGTCACATCTCCATCCAACATGGGCCCATGATTCCAGGCCGAACACCCAAAGAGGGGCTAGGCAGGACATCTTGGGGTTCCCACTGCCCTGCCTGGCTGGTGCCCATTTGATCTTCTGCTCACAGGGCTCAGAGTTCAAGGCCTATCGTATCCTCCGCCCTGGAGCTTGTGCCATGCGTCAGGGACCCTCAGATTCTGGGACGCCATGCCCTGCCTCTGGAAGTTCCTGGGAGGCTCTAATCCTCTACTCGGCTTCTGGGACCACGTCCCCATCCTCTGCTCCCACACCCACCCCACCAGGAGAGAAATGAATGGGGGCTTCCTCTGGGGGACAGAGAGGCCAGAAAACAGGACAAAGAGGACAGATCGTTGCACCTGCTTTTCGTGAATAAATGTGGACTGAAGTAGGAAGAGGAGAAGCTGGATGGAATTACGCAGGAAGTATGGCCGGGGCCCTAGAATAAAAGCTGGCAGGGTCAGTGCTGACTAAAACCATGTTTAAACAGACGCTCTGTGTTTGTATGTAAAACGGAGTTAGGTTCTGGGCGTGGATCATTGGAAACTGATTCTTCACAGACGTGAAGGCCTGGAGGGATATCCAAGGGGAGGATGTGGGACAATTCACAGCTCAGGACTGTTCCTGGGTGTCCCAGACGTTGGGCATCCCCAGATGGCCCACTGAGCACCTGGGGTGCCCAGATCATGTTTGCAAACCAGCCCCCAGGAGGTCAAACGGTGCCCAGTAGGAGCTCCTGAAATATACTTCAGGGAGCGGGACCTGCCCCTGTGCCTGTAGGTGCCAGGCGCTCTCCTGGGGTGTCCCCTCCGTAGTCTGCAGCCCTGTGGTCACGCTATCCTGTCCGCTGGTGAGAATGAAACCTTAGTACCATAACACTCAAGGTTCCAAACCTCACACACATCACCTCTTGAGTCCTCCACGCCTCATGATAAAGTGGGGACACCAAGGCAGGAAGAGACAAAGTGACTTGTGGGTTAGAGAATGGGACTGCCAGGTAGCATTTACAGCACCTTTGTGGGAAGTAGAAAAAGGCTCCAGCTCTGAACTGACTATTGTAAAAAGGGCCCCTTCTGTTCCTTGAATGGTTAAACATAGAGTTACCCGATGACCCAGCGATTCCACTCCTAGGAATTTCCCAGGAGAAATGAAAGCATGGGTCCACACAGAAACTTGTACACAAGTGTCCAGAGCAGCATTATTCATGATAGCCAAAATATGGAAAGAACCCCAACGTCTATCACCTGATGAATGGATAAACCAAAGGTGGTATAGCTATACGATGGAATATTATACAACAATGAAAAGGAATGAAGCACTGACATACGCTACATCATGGATGAACCTTGAAAACATCATGTTAAGTGAAATAAGCCAGACACAAACTCACCACATGTTGTATGATGCTATTTATATGAAATGTCCAGAATAGGCAAATCCATAGAGACAGAAAGTAGATTAGTGGTTGCTGGAGGCTGGGGGGAGAGTTGGAGGATGATGGCTAAGGGGTGTGGAGTTTCTTTTTGGATTGATGAAAACGTTCTAAAATTGATTTTGGTGATAGTTGCACGCTCTGTGAATCTACTGCAGCCATTGAATCGTACACTTTTTTCTTTTTTTTTTCCCTTGGTGAGGAAGATTGGCCCTGAGCTAACATCTGTGCCAGTCTTCCTCTATTTTGTATGTGGGACGCTGCCACAGCATGGCTTGATGAGCAGTGTGTAGGTCCACCCCCGCGATCCAAACCTTCGAACCAGGGGCCACAGAAGTGGAGCTCATGAACTTAACCACTATGCCACCGGGCCAGCCCCTGATCGTGCACTTTAACTGAGTGAATTATATGGTATATGAATCTTCATTTTCAAAAGCACCTCACCCATCATCATCCACACCAGAAAAGTGCCAGCTTCCTCTTTCTCTTTTCCTTATTGGGTTTTCCAATCTTGCAGGATTATAAATACCACAGGAATAAATACACTCGCGCTGAGCATGTCAGTGTACAGACACACACACACACACACTCTGACACACACATCCCTGATGTATTCCTCAGAATAAATTCCCAATGGCCGCTTATGGCTGCGGAGCCCTTGAAACATGTCTGCTCCAAAGGGTTAAGGAAAAAAGAATATTCAACATCTCATTAATAATTGTTTTATATTGATGACACATGCAAATGATAATATTGTGTATATTTTGGGATAAATGAAATCTACCCTGAAAATTCATTTCACCTGTTTTTTAGTTATTGAAGGTGGCCCTTAGCAAATTTAACATGATACCTGTGGCTTGCATTTGGGTGTCCTGTTATAGTTCTGTTGGGGGGGGGGGTGGTAGGAGGCCGAGTGAGCTGTTTGGTTTGCCCTAGGCCCAGTTGCCATGGTAACTTTGCAATAAACTCTCTTCCTACATAAAAAAAGAAAAAAAACTGAAGTGTTTTGGTTCCTTATTTATTTATTTAACAAATGCTTATATAATGATAAGTTCTCAGTAAATCATTCCCATAGTCTCCCTGTATGGAGCACCACGTGTGGGCCAGCCTCTCTTCCAAGTCTTTCATGGATCATCCCCTATAAGGATTCTGCGAGGTAGGGTTAATGGTTAACTCCATTTCACAGAGGAGCACACCCAGACCAGAGAAGCTCTGGAACCTTCCCAGAGTCACAGCGGCGGAAGGCAGAGATAGAAACCCAACAGCTGGGCCACCGCGCCTGATTTGCATAGAGTGGGGAACAAAGCTGGCGAAGGAGATGTGTGTTCAGAGTAGCTGCGACATTCACGCGACACAGGGGGAACGCTTTCTTGCAGAATGCATGTCTGATCTCGCCGACGATCACACACATGCACACACCACATACAAAAACGCAGGATTAACGGTACGTGCATCGTTGCCATACAGAAACACACACACGAGTGAGGACAGGTCTCACTGAATGAGGCCTGCACCCCCTTAAATCAGGCCTGTGTGCCCTGAATGATGCCCGCACCTCCCAGGCGAGGCCTGTGTACCCACTGATGCCTGTTCCCACTGAGGGCGACCCGTAAACTCTGAGCGAGGCTTGTACCCCAAGAATGAGTGCGGGCCCACTGTGTGAGGCCGGAGCCCGCTGGTTTAGGTCTCTACATCCTGAATTCCCCTCTACACTGTGCAGGGGATTATAACCCTGGCTGAAGCCTGTACTCTCTCGAAGGAGGCCTCCATCCCCTGACAGGGGGCTGTCTTGTCCCCTCTGCACATGGCCTTTTTCGGGTTCATCACTGAAGGTGGTCTGCCAACCCCCACAGGCTCCTTTCGTCGGGCCCTTTAAGAGCGGCTCCTGGGACCCCAGCCACGCAGACCCCGGCTGCAGACCGCAGTGTTGCCATGGAGACCCGGCCCAGCTGGGGGCGGGGGTGGGGGGGGGCGAGCCCTTGCGCGCAGGCGCAGGCCGGAGCAGCCAGGGCGCAGAGGAACGGCTGAGATTGGAGCGGAGGGTGCGCGCCCAGACCCGCGAGCGCCCGGCGAGCGCGCCCCTTCCCCGTCGCCCCAGGTGCAGACGGCGCCGCCCCCCCGCACCTGCCCGGGCGCCGGTCCCTCAGCCTCTGTCAGGGACGGAGGGCGGAGCGGCCAGGCCGGCGGCATCCCCGGGCCTGACACGTAAGCCCCCTGCGGGATCTGCGACAACCTTGGGGAGGGGCCCCGGGAAAGGCCGCTGCGTCAGCCGGCCAGAGCAGTGAGAGCACGGAGCCCGCGCCCTGGCCTCGCCACATCCACCTGAGCCTGAACTCTGAGCCCCGCGGCGCTGTTCCAGGGGGAATTTGCACGGGGCGCTGCAGCCCACGTCCGCCTCGGGCCCCCTCCTGCCCCGCGATCGGCGGCAGCGGGCGGCACCATGGCCAGGAGCCTTTTGCGGGACTGGTGCCGGGGGCTGGACGTGGACGAGCACAGGGCCCTGCTGGTCACCGGCATCCCCGAGCGCCTGGAGCGGGCGGCCATCGAGGCCGTCCTGCGGCCGGCCCTCCTGCCCCTGGGCGCGTTCAGGCTGCGGAACACGAGGGCCGCGAGGAACCGGGAGGCCAAGGCCGCCCTGGTGGAGTTCGCGGAGGACATTGATCACGCCGCCATCCCCAGGGAGATCCCGGGCCAGGACGGCGTCTGGAGGGTTCTGTGCAAGGACCGCGCCGAAGACACGAGAGTCCTGCGGCGGATGAAGCGCTTGCTGCTGGAAGAAAGGCCCACTCAGGCCGCAGTGGCCGGGGCCCCCGGGGGCACGCCCAGCCCTCCCGCCTCGGAGACCGAGGCCCAGGGGTCAGAGCAGGCGGCCGGGAAGGCTGGGCCCCCTCCTGGTGCAGCCAGCGGGGCTGGGAGGGGCCGTGGGGGTCGCAGAAACAGAGCCAGAGGCAACAGGGTGACCCAGAAGGGCACGAAGAGGGGCCGAGGAGGGTGGCCGTCTGCGTCGGCGAGGCGTGAGTCCGAGGACTCTTCGGACGAGAGCCTGGGCATCGTGATCGAGGAGGTGGACGGGGAGGACCTGAGCGCGGATGAGGAGCAGAGCGCGCTGTACGCCACCCTCCAGGCCGCCGCCAAGGAACTGGTGAAGAAGGGGGCCCTCCAGGGCGAGGCAGACGACGGAGACGGTCCCCGCGAGTTCTTGGCCCTGGTGACGGTGACGGACAAAGCCAAGAAGGAGGAGATGGAGAAAGGGCCCCGTGGGGCCGAGTCCATCAGCCTGGACATCGCAGAAGACCGGAGCGGGGTCCCCGACTTAGTGGCGCTTCTTGCTGTGAGAGACGCGTCGGACGAGGAGACCACGGGCAGCGACGCTTCCGAAAGTGATTCGCAGGAAAATGGGGACCAAGAGGAAGAGGGGGTGGACAATCCCGAGTTTGTGGCTATTGTGGCGTATACAGACCCCTCGAACCCCTCCGCCCAGGAGATGCTGAAAATCGCTTCTGTGATCAGGTCGCTGGGCTGGAGCGACAAGAAGGACAAAAGGGATGCCCTTCCCGAGGTCTTGTCCCTCATGGCCAAGGACACTTCGGGCCCCCGCGTGCAGGTGGAGGAGGCAGGCCGCCAGGTGGACGCCATGGTCCTGCGGAAGGCCGAGGACGACGGGAACCTTCTGGAATGCATTTCTGCCTTGGTTGAGCCCCAGACCCGCCCCGAGGGGAGGAAGGCTCCGCGGGGCCCCCTCGCGGGCCAGGGCGACGGCGAGGACGCTGAGGGGGGCCTCCTGGAGCTGGTGGCGCTGCTGGCGGCCCAGGACACGGCCGAGGTGGTGGAGGAGGACAAGGAACATGCCTGGGAGGGCGGGAAGGTCCAATGCGCCAAAGGCAAGCTGGGTGAGGTCTTGGCGCTCCTGGCGGCCCGAGGGGGCAGGGAGTCGGATGAGGACGCGGAGGGGGCTTCGGACGAAGGCTCCGAGGAGGAGGCGTCGGAGGACACGGAGGGCGAGGAGTCGGAGCGCGAGCACCGGGCGTCCAGGACGCCCCGCGCCAAGCGGGCGCGCACGGCCTCCAGGGCCCTGGGAGCGGCCGGCGCCCCCGCCCCGTCGGGCGCCCGCAAACCCCGAAGGGGAGGCCGGGGCCGCGGCGGAGGGGGCGTCACTCCCGAGAAGAAGGCTCAGGACGAGGCGGCGGGACACAAGAAAAAGAAGGGGCGTGCGGGGGCCGGGCCCCGCGCCAAGGCCGGCGAGGCCGGGGGGCAGCCGCCCAGCGGCTCCAAGGCGGCCCGCGGGAAGAAGGCTCGGGGGGGCAGGAGGCCGCCGCCCAGGCGCCGCTAGTGGAACCGGGGACAGCGAGGCCCCTGCGCCCCCTGGGCGCTCCCTCCGGGGAGGCGTCTCCCGCTTATCCGCGCGACCCGTGCTCCGTGCGCCGCGGCGCCCCCTGCTGCTCCCGCCTTCCCCTTCCAGCCCCTCCTTGGCAGGTGGCGCGAGCGATCCTGATGGAAGAAGGAGAGAGAAACGGGCCCCGGAGGCGGCAGCCCCAGGTGATGGGACGGCGTCTCAGGTTCCCCGACGGCTCGGCTTTGGGTGGCCCCCGGTTAGCACGCGGGGGGTGTGTCCGTGGACGTCAGGCACCCGGGGAGGCCAGCGGTGGCAGTGAGTTCTTCGTGGTTCCCCATGGGGCCCCCGATCGTTCCAGACACATTCTGGCCAGCGTCTGTGGGTCACTGTCACCTCCACAATCTGGGGGCTGGGGTCTGTGATGGAGGCTCGGCCCCCCGGCCCCTCAGCGGGTGTCAGGGTGTAGCTGAGCTCTGAAGGCTGAACCTCCCTTCCTAGGGGAGGAGAAGATTCCAGAAAGAGAAGCTTGAGAAGCAGAGCGGGCTGCTCAGAGGGGAGCAGAGAGGAGAGGTGGGGGAGGGGAGGGGAGGGGTGCGGACCGGTGACCAGGAGCAGGGGATGGGGAGGAGGAAGAAAGGGGGAGACGCAGCAGCCCAGCCCCCCCCCCCAAGGGGCAGCTGGTACAGATGAACCAGCTCCTCCAGGCCAAGCCCACCTGCCAGTGTCCCCGGGCTGAATCTGCCGCTCAGACTGCAGTGTTGTCCAAAACCCCGAGTTATTTGGCACCATTTTCAACTCGCGGCAGTTCACCTAAAATCCAGGTTCCTGGCTTTTCTCTCTGGCAGCGCCAGGCAGCGCCCCTCCTGCGGACCTGAGGCTCCCCTAGGCTTTCCCTAAACAGCCGTCTCCCCTGGACGCCCCTGCAAGTCCTCTCGTCCTGGGGCTGTGTGCGTCTGTGCCAAGTCCCTGTGCCCAGCAGGTGACGGCCCATCGTGCCAGGAGGGCCCTCCCTGCCCGTCTCAGGAAGGCACAGGGGCCTGGGCGCCTCCTCACAGCCCGACTGGACTGTCGGGGCCCCATCTCGGGACCCCAGTGCAGAAGCAGATGTGGGAGCCGCTGTGGCCGGGCTTGGAGTGGCCCCTCCCGGCTGCAGGGACCTCCCTGGGCAGAGACAAGCTCACCGTGGAGCAGGCCAGGGTGGGCCTGGGGCTGGGGAGGAAGCCCCTCCTCCCTGGGGCTGATGGAGCTCGGGGCCTGGCCCGGGGTGGGGAGGGCCCCGCGTGTAACTTCCCCCTGTAGATGTGGGCTTCTCTCCTGTGCGCTGTGTCACCTGGAGTCCTTCAGTAAAGTGAGTTAAGCATCCTGCCTGGTCTCTGTGCTCTGGGCGATGGGGGAGGGGAGTGTCTGAGATTGGGCAACACATGGCCCACCCGTCACGGCTGATATTCATCCAGAACACCCTGGAACTGCCCGGTCACTGATTTACACCTGGTATCCTTTACTGCTTCACTGTCTGTGCCCCCCACTCAGCCCCTGATCTAACTCCACCCATAGACGTTCTCCAGCCTTAGCTTCTACCTGCCCCTGCCCCTGCCCCCTCCGCCCAGCTCCAACCTCAGCTGTCTCCTGTCCAGTCGTCTCTCCCAGGTCCCAGCCTTCCATCATCTTTAGGTCTCTGCCGCCAGACCCCCTTTCCTGGCCCCCGAACTGCATTTTCTGGGGCCCCAGCCCTCACTCCTAGTCCTGGCCCCTAGCCCACCTCCCTCCCCTCAACCTGGGTCCTATCTCAGCCTCATTCTCTACCCACCCAACTGTCCGTCACCAGGCTCTGGAATGATCATGCCCTCACCCCTGCGCAGCTCCCTAGCCCCCACCCCTCCTGGGGCCCTGCTCTGAGGCTCAGCCAACTGGACCCCCATTCACCCTCACCCTGGTGCTCACCTGGACACTTCGCCCTGCTCTGTGCCCCGTGACCCTCCATGCCCAGCCCCCAGTCCCATGCTTGACCTCCAGAGCTGCCCCACCAGCCCTTGCCCCAGGCTCTGCCATGGACCCCAGGCTAAGGGGCCCCACTCCTACCCGGTTCCTGCCTCCTCCCTGCCCCACCCCCATACAGGGCTGCAGGGCTGCCAGAGGGGTCCTCTTAGACCTCACGTCTGATGTCTGATCCAGTCCCTCCCCTCCCCAAACCCTTTAAAGGCTTCCTATGTCCCCACAGGTCAATAATGGTCCAGACCTGCGGTGTCCAATAGGATAACCACTGGCCACAAGGGGCAATTTAAATTCAAATGTAGTTAAAATTAAATAAGATTGAACATCTGTCTTCTCAGTCGTACCAGCCGCATGACAGGTGTTCAAGAACCACAAGTGGCCAGTGGCTACCCTACTGTGCCGTGTGAGGATAGGACATTTCCATCATCACAGAAAGTTCCCCTGGACAGCAGTGGTCTACGCACTCTGTCCCCACGTTCCCTCTGCCTCACTGCCCACCACCCCCACGTGGCTTCAGCCACCAGGTCTCCCTGCTGTTCGGGGAACACATGGAGTGTATTCCTGCCTCAGGGCCTTTGCACTTGCTGTTCCCGCTGCCTGGAGGCCCCTTCCCCAGGATATTTGCACGGGTCTGTCCTTGGCTTCATGCAGTTCTTCCCTCAAATGTCACCTTCCCAGGGAGGGCTTCCCCGGCCACCCTGTTAAACACATAACACTTCCTGCAACTCCCCACTTTATTTCTCGAAGGTCTGATCGCCGCCTGACATGACTCACGTATGTTTCTAAATAGCGCACTGACTGTATGTGTCAGGGGGCTTCATAGAGGGAACTGGGGACACGGGTATTGCAGGCAAAGTGCAGAAGGGGTCGTCAGGTCCCAAAGATGAGGAACGCAGCAGCTGCTCCCCGCAGGGAGGTGCTGAGCCCAGGGCGCTGCGCTGCGAGGTTCCAGGAACGGCCGACCGGCCTGAGGGGGGACCCAGGAGCCGCTGGCTCGCGTCGCTGCTGCCGCCCCCACAGCCCGAGCAGCCTCAGCGTGTCCCCCTCCCGCCTCCGTCTCCCGCCGGTGCCCGTGGGCCCGCCCAGCGCCGCAGCTGCCGGAGGAACCGGGGCCGCGGCTGAGGCCGAGGGTCCCACCCGGGGATGGGGATGGGGGGTGAGGGGCAGCAGGGCCGCCCCCGGGCCGGGAGCGTGGTCCATCCTGTCCCCGCCGCGTCCCCGCGCCAGCGCAGGTGCGCACACGGTGGCTGCTCAGTTTCTAGTTGTCGAATGACTGACGGACGGAATTGGCGAACCAGACCCAGATGCGCGCGGGGAGGAAGGTGCTAGAACGCCCCCCCATGGTGGGAGTGAGCCGCGGGGGGCGTGGGAGCAGCGCCGCGGGTCCCAGGAGCAGCCGCGTAAAGGCCCTGAGGTCCGCGTGGAAAGCGGGGCGCGCGGAGCCCCCAGGGGTCCGAGGACCGAGGAGGCGGAGGCGGCGGCCCGGGAAGAGGCCGGGGGAAGCGGGCGGGCGGAGGGGAGAGATCCGGGCCCGCGGCTGGGCTGGGGCTGCGGCGGGAGGCAGGACAGACACATGCGGACCCCGCGGAGCGCCATCCTGGAGACGGGTCAGAAGCTTCCAGAAGAGCGCAGGACGCACGCCTTCTCCGTGAAGGCGGCGGGGGTGGGGGGACGGATCCGACAGGGCGGGCCGAGGAGGCCGGGGCGGGAGAGGGTTTGCAGCCACCTCCGATTTCAGGTCCTTCGGGGAAGCCCTCACTGGGAAGTGACATTTGTGCAAAGAGCAAAGGAGGCGAGGGGCGAGGCGGGCGGGTACCCGAGGGAAGCGTGCTACAGGAGGCTGGAACAGCCGATGCGAAAGCCGGAAGGCAGGGGCGTGGTGATAGGGTTTAGTCACGTGCCATCACTGCCCCTCCAGGGCCGGGCTTCGGTGCCGGGAGTAGGGGGACGGTGTCTCCAAACCCTCCCCACCCCTCCAGGCCCCCCCCCCCCGCCTTCATGGGGGTGGCTGTCTGGATTCCTGGAGACTGGAGTTTAGAATGTGAGCCAGGCTTGAAATGAGCGTGCAGAGGTCACTGAGATCGGGGTGGGGGTCAGGGTGTGTGCAGACAGGCAAGAGCATGTCCCCCCACCCCTCCCACCCCTGGACCTCCAGGATGAATCTGTCCCGGCTCCTCGGCCGGCTCAAACGGAGACGGGGCTGCCCCGAGACTCCCGGGGATGTGACCAGGTCCTAGAAGGGCCTGGAGGGAGAAGTCAGGGTTCCGGGGATAGAAAATGACACCGCTTCCCCTCCATCTGGTTCCCTAAAGCCTGGTGCCCTCAAGGCCCCGCCCCTCACACAGGACACTCCGCCCCCTTCGTCTAGGCTCTCGGTCAACTCAAGCGAGTTGCAGTTCCCCCATTTGCCCACCAGGTGGCGCTCCGAGACCGCTGGTTAAAATCGCGCCCGCCGCGGCTCTCCGGGTGCGCGCACGGTCCCCACCAGGAGGCGCTCCGGGACCGACGGGTAACATCGTGCGCGCGAGGGCGCGTCCTGAGCGCTCAAGTCGCACCGGGCGCTGGCCCGTCGCCTTAGAGCTCCAGAGCTCCGCCCGTCCTTTGAACGCCAGGCCGTGGAAAGCGGACTTCTCTGTTGGGCAGCAGTTCTTCAAGTCTTGAGACCATATGCATCAATATCTCCTGGAGACTTCTTAGGCATGCATATTCTCAGGCCCATCCAGAGCTACAGAATCGGAAACTCTGGGGCGGGGCCCAGCAATCTGTTTTTTTAAGGCCCCCCCCCCAGGTGATTCTGATGCGGGATCAGTTTGAGAGCCCCCGCTGTGGCTCTGATCATCTCCTGGACGCCTAGGGCAGCGGTTCTCAGCCCGGGTGCAGATTGGAATCGTTACTTTGGTGCTCCGGCCATACCCTGTACCCTCCTGTGAGAATCTCCGACAGGGCGGGCTGGGCAGGGGTGTTGAGAGCTCCCAGGTCATTCCACACGGCAGCCGGGACCGGGA